ACAATTCTCTACAAAATAAGATGTCCCTGAGCTCTCTACGATGTTTTTGGTCGAACTATATCAAATTTACGAACAGCCCAAAATAGGACTTTTTCAAGTCATTCCCCCCCAATGGACACTCCAGTGATCATTCTGTGTCATACCATCTCTTATCTACCTGGCTTTTCTGACACTTTTGAAAGGCATTGATATTGATAGTAGACATTATTGTCATTATATACCACACAATAGGTTATTAAGATGTATCTTGCCCGTTGGAATAAAAATATTTTCGAAAAAAATCTAATTTTTGTGATTTTTTAAAAGTCTTTTTTAAAAGGGTTAAAGCCTTTTTATCAGAAGGTACAAGTGTGGAAAACAAAACATTTTTTGAAGCATATATTCTGAGTTGTTCTCTACAAACTGATGAAATAGACTACCCCTCTGATATCTTCTTCAAACGCTTTGAAAGTGTAGGCAAATCAGGTCGTCTCATACTCACACTTGCTCAATGTTTCGTAGATGGGCAAATGGATGTGGCGAGTGATGCTCAAGAGGAAGACGGAGATCAACAAATTCTGGATGAAAATGGTATTGATGAAACGAAGGTGGAAAATGGTGAGGACAGTGATGATGAATTTGAGGACGATGGATCAATATTTGATGAATGGGGTGAGGGGGTGATAGCCGATGATACTTGTGCATTGACCGATCAGACACTCGTTATACAATTATTACAGAAATGTCGAATATTTGTCAATAAAATTAAAAAGTCAACCATAATATCTAATTATTTCGATCATGAAATAAATAAAATGAAAGAGCGTCCTCATCAGCCACAAAATTTTGGAAAACATATTCAAATCAACTGCCAGTATTATCAAAAGTGGCTCGAAAATATCTGGCCACACCAGGTACAAGTGTACCGTCTGAGTCAGCATTTAGTACCTCAGCATACTTGGCTAGAAAGCAACGTCCACGTCTAACACCCGATAGTTTAGCTGTTAGTGTGTTTCTGAAAGACAAGATAGAAGATTAGAATCGAAAACTAGCATTCTTTTGTTTTAGGAGCAAGACTCATTCGTCAGAAACGTAGCTATAGTGAAATTATTTTTTTTTATTGCATATATTACGAAAATGTTAATTTTTAATTCTGCCGATATCCCTTTTTGATGCGAGTAGAAAGACTGAGCCAGTGAAAACGCGAGATTACTCACGAGGGAACCTTTCGAAGTGATTCACCATTTTTGAGCTCATATTTTGGGCATATAGAGAAGACCTCTAGACTAAAATAACCCCAAAAGGATTCGGGTCCATATTGAGATTTGACCGAGGTATCGAATTTTTAATAAATTTTTCCTGTAGGAGACTCCTATTTTCCAGCAAAGTCATATTTCGAATTTCGACCTGAAAGTTTGCCCACATCAAGGTCTCAACTAGAATAGCTTGGAAAAGAAGTTTTAGAATTTTCGGACAAACCCTCTCCGAGATATAATTTTTTCAAAGTACAGGCGCTCTTCCATAGCTATAGTATAAAACATGGATATTT